TGGTTTTTACCCTTGTGAGTTGAGGTTTTTCGCGATAAAATATTGTGTCATTATTTTATTTACTTCACAAAACGTAACTGCTGTAATTTCTCAAAGGAACATATAGAATAAACTTGTTCCTAAGGCGAATTTGGGGGTCAGAAATCCAACACTAGATGTTGTCAATCCATAATGATATGATTATTGATCTAGATAACTTTTAATTATATGTTCCATATAATTTGATCAGTTTTAATTTAACCGATATTATATATATTGTACCTCTTTTATCAGAACAATATTATATGTATATATATGCTGTTAACGCAGACATTAAATAACTTCCTTTCATTGAAAATTATTGAGCCTTCGCAATAGTCCTTTATTTGATGGGAAACTTATCGAAATTTTGCTAGTCTAGGAGCTAATCATTTACATACTTTTAAATTAGCAATATTATAAATCTTATTTGATTTTGATAAATACAGATATATACATGTATCTCACGATACATATTGATTCAAAATTAGATGTAATTTATTCGAGATATACTATTTCCAAGTAGATTCGCATGTGTTTGGATACATAACAAATCTCGCTTACATCCTTTTCATCTTCCTCGCCACTCTCCTATGATTTGATATACCAAATACATGTGAGTCCCACTATATATATACATGTACATATATATCTAGTGTGTATCATATATATCTGGATACATGACTATATCGATTGCCTCCCACCCCTTCTCGCTCGCATCTCTTTCATTTTAGTGTATATGATAGTAAATATACATGCATCAAGTGTATCTTCCTTAGTATATGATAGGAAACTCTTCATTAAGGATAAGATATGTAATTATTTGAAGTATAAGAGAATTAGTAGATATATGTATAATAAGATAATCTTCCCTTTTTTGAATAATTACCCTATATAGTTATTCGTCGGCTGATTAAATTAAAAATTATCGAAATCTAAAAAAAATGCTTTCTTAGTGTCTAATTCATTTAAAATATAAAATAGAACTAAATAGAACAATTTCATTTATCACAATGAATTGTTGTCAAAATAAATATTGAACGAGCAGATGTCCTATACTCTGTCAAAGCTAGTTTTAGTCTTTTTAGCAAGCAAGCGAGTAAGACTGACAAAACCAGGTACACTAAAGACAAAGCAACTGATTGCATACACACTCATATTCAACAAGACATCAACATATAAACAAATTAAATCCTGTTAGACAAAGAATAGAGATTCACACCACAAATATATAATAGATATATACTTCATATAGAATATGTATAACAATATATGATCTATGTGACTCCGTCTATCAACTAGAAAAGTAAATAACAAATCTGTCTAATTACTCATTTAAGGATATTTTTGCAAATCTGTGCCTTCTAGTTTTGAAGTATTATTAATCCGAATGGCCAAGATTAGCTCTCCCATGGTGTAGATAATTAATTAAAATAGTTCGCACACTTAATGATCATCATCGCACAATCAATACTCAACAACAATTGACAAAGATTTTTAGAATATTAATTAGAAATTAACAAAAAGATACACACAATAAAACAAAAATCAAAATGTGATATTTTTCATCTTCATTCATTCGCATAATAACAATGTTAATAGACATCAAATCAAAATAAAATAAAAAAGAATAGAATAATATTAATTGAAATCAAAACAAATAAATCTTCAAAATATTTAAAAATTATTCAAACTTTTATACTAATATGACCATCTCTTTTGATCAAACTTCTAAGATAATTAAATCTCCTTCTTCATTTCGACGAAGTTGTACCAAACAAATGGCAGAAACAATCTCAAAGGTTTCACGTTCAATTTAGTGAACTAGTGATCTTGTATAGGCAGATAATCAGTTTGAATGCTTAATCATATATATATTTATTAATTATTTCTCATTTTATTTCATTAAGCATATATAATGTTTTTTATAGTCTAGACAATCGCGGAATTAGGAGTTGGGAAGCTAGTATTGTCAGTTGTCCTAAACATATGGACCATTAAATTTGGTTTCTCAGTCGTGAAACGATGAGAGAAGAAACTTTTTTGATTACAGTACTTTCCTTAGTTTTCAGGGTACTATAATGTGCCGAAAGATCCTTGAAAAGACTCCTGCAAAAGCATAGCAAACACGTGTTGACAAAACACATATCGACATGTGTTTGCTGGGTTTATGCAGGGGTTTCTTCAAGAATCATTTGGCACATTATAGTATCCTGGAAATCAAGGAAAGTACTGTAATCAAAGAAGTTTCTTCTCTCTCATCTCATCATTTTTAGGGTACTATAATATGCCTGAAAATTCTTGAAAAGACCCCTGCAAAAGCACAACAAACACGTGTCGACAAAACACATGCCGACATGTGTTTTGTGGGTTTATGCAGGAATTTCTTCGAGATCTTTTGGCACATTATAGTACCCTGGAAATCAAGAAAAGTATTGTAATCAAAGAAGTTTCTTTTCTCTCATCTCATCGTTACACGACTGAGAAACCAAATTTAGTGGTCTATGTGTTTAGGACAACTGGCAATACCATTAAATCTTTCTAAAATGTATTTTATGATGAAATGAATTGAACAATCAATTTAGTAAACCAAAAGTACAATACTAAATGCAATAATAGATATGAAAATTTTCAATGAGAACATTGTGTTCAACAATAGAAGGCTTGTGGAAAGTATGAAATGCTCATTTGCTAGCGTTGTATATCCTTTGTAAAGGTATTATTTGCTTGGCAGTACGAAAAGTTTACATCTATAAGGATGTCTCATTGATTTCTTTTACTGTACACTAATTTCGTATAGGACTCGTAAGCTTTAACTATTTTCTCAATCTTATATGCAATAAGTTTATCGGTATTTTTTTTTATGAAACTCATTTGTATTTTCTAAGAGATCATTTCCTATTTAACCTTCTTTTGTTATGTCGATATTATCATTTGATCACTAACGATCTAATTGGAAATTTAAAATATTCAAAGTTGAACTTAAAAATTCAATTCAATATGATTATTTGGATTGAATTTTTTTTAGAATTTCTTTAATTCGAAAATCAAAAATTAAAATTTTCATATCCAATTTGAAACCTCTGCACCCTCACGGGTACACGCAAACAACCTAATTTGAATGCAAGTCATTTATAGTAACGAAGAAAACAAAATTCAAAAAACTAGACATGAGTCTATAATTTTGTGAAAAGTTTTAAATACTCCAAACATTAATTTTAGTCAAATTTTTAATCATTAACGAACACTCACACTAAGTGACACATGTAATCTAATGTTTCTTTAACTTTGATTTCATTTGACTTTTAATTTAAAATAGTGAACATTTTCATAGACAAGTCACTTCGTATTATATATGTATTTACCAAAAAAAAAGTTATTTATACATTACAATGAATTTAATTTTTCTTTTTTTTTCTTTTTTTCATTGGAGTTTTAGGCTAATTCCTACGAGATAAACAAGATCATGAAGATCAAAGTGAAATATCAAAAGGATTGAAGATTCAAGTTTTTTACCAAGAAAAAGCAAAAAGTAGTATATAGAGTATACAAGAAAATTTTAAGCTTGTATATTTTAATACCGTGATTGTATTTATCCATATACTAGTGTTTGTTTCTTTTTTTATCAAGAATTTCATTCGCTTGAAATTCGCATTTGATTTTGATGAGTTTGTTTTTGTTGCGGATATTGACCTAAAAACTTTATTAAACTAAAGAAGAATAAAAATTATAGATTTAAATTTTTTGATCTGTGTATGTGTATATATATACTCATCTATAAAAAGGTAGATATTACTAACTGAAAGTCAAAATAACCCTAAGGAAGCATTATTAGATTAGATGTGTGAGTAATCCTGCTTATTACTAAAAAAAATATGACTAAAAAGTAATATTATTTATAGTATTTTCATAAAATTAAAAGACTTTCTTCAGTGCCTTCATAACAGGAAGAAAAACAATGCACGAAGAAAGCTTAAGATTTTCTCACATTTTCCTTTCTCGTTTTGCTCGTGTGCAACAAGAGAAGCAAATCAAAAAAACGATACTGCATAGGTAACATATACATGTTTGATACAAAAACATTAACTCGACTTGATATTGAATTTAAGAAAGTAAACAAAAATATTGAAATTTATAGTCTTAAACTAATGATACATAGAATGTATCAAAAAAATCATTTAATTTTTTTATCTTAAATATGTTATGTTAGTTGAAATCAAACAAGTATAAATAATAATAATAATATAGAGATGATTCTTTTTTAAAAAAAAAAAAATTGAATCAAAAAGCTAGTAAAGTACAAAAAATAAAAAAAAAATGGGGATGTTGATATTTGAGAATTGAGATGGAGATATTTCATCAACTTAACCAGAAAAATTGATGATATCATTCATGATGGGACTTGAGAGCTAACAGAAATTTGGAGAGAAAAAGATAGCATTAATTATTTCTTCTTTAGCACCAATAATACAAGCTAGCCACTCCCTAAATATGTATAATAAAGTACCCCCTTTCACAGCTTAAAGTATAATGTTCTTTAACCTATGTTAACATGTATCTAATGTAGCCTATATAGTTGATGAGTTGATGTTGAAATTATAAGAATACTGACCATTTAATTATTTAAACATCATATACTCAAATTTATATTATTTAATTACTCATTATTAATATAGTTTATTATAATTATCATTCGCGATTAATGTTACATTAATTACGTTGGACTGATTTTGAGTTTATATAATTAATTATATTTGTTTATAAATAATTCGTCACATTTGTATGATTCACAACTAATTTGTATTTGTATATGACGATTGACGACGATTTCCTTTGATTTTTTAATTTTATCATCATATACATTTAACTTTTTTTGTGTACAACTTTTTAATGTTTGTATAAATATGTTATTTTTGAATTTTATTTAAAATTCATATGTTTATATTTATATCAATTAATTATTTTGAGATTTATTATGTTTATATAATTTAAAGACTTTGTATTAATTAATTATATAAAAATACCGAATTGTATCAACAAAATTCAAACTATACAAATTATTGTCCTCTCTAGACTAATCGGCTTATTTAAAAAAAAAAAATGTGGAACCCAGCTTCCCCTATAATCATTGGGAAGTGGGGACAACAACGGAAGCCGACTGGAGAAGTTTCTGAGCCAAAGAGAGTTGATCCATTAGATTCATAACACGTGTCCTGTAAGCCCGAGCCTGATCAACAGCCTCGGCTTCGAATTCTCCGAGCTGAGAACAGAGCCGCTCCTCCGCCACCCTCAGCCGCTTCCATGTTTTCTGCAACTCCTCTCTCATTTTCTCTTCTCTCTCAAAACTCTTCTTCAATTCCTTCTCCAACTCTTCATTTCTTCTTCTGAGCACCTCGCTCTCCGGCACGGCGGAGGTCTCGCGGCGGTGATGCGGTGTTGTTTGGGTGGAAGGCACTGCTATAGTCGGCGCCATAACTAACGGAATTAGTTGAAAAATTAGTGGAAGCAAATACAGTGTATTAGTTTAATTGAGCGCAAGAAGGCTAGGAGATTAATTTGTGGTTTAACTGCTAAAAACGGATCTATTTATACTAGAAAGAGTTGTTAATGGACCCAATATTGAATATGTCCAGGTTCAATGTATCTAGGTGTTACGATTAATTAATTAATTAAAGGCCCTCGGAGATTTCTTTTGTAATTTAGGGGATTATTACGTAATCAGAGAGCAGATATTTTTTGTCCTCTTCTTAGAAGCAACATTTGGACACCCTATTCAAAAAAAAAAAAAAAAATTAGAAATTCACATACTTTACAAAATATTATATTAAATATATTATTATTTTTGATGTACCCATCCGACATTCAATGCATATTACTATTATTTTTCGACGTATAATGTCATTACATATCAAAATAGTATAATTCTTTGATGTTTTTGCGTTATTCTTCTCTTTCGGCATGTTTTAGAAAATGTTATCGTAATTATTCTATTCATAATAAATAAAAAAATTTCATGTGTAATAACATATTGGATATTTTAACATGAATGGACTATGTACATTGTTGTTAGTTTTGATTTTGTGTATCTATAAATGGACCCAAAGTTTTGTGAACAAGATTTAGATCTACTTTTCAATAGGATAAAATAGAAGCTTTTGTTTTTGTCTAGCGGTGGAATGATAAAGATTCTTTCGTATTTAATTTAAAGTTTGGAGATTAAACTTTTGAAAAGTAAGAAAAATCCAATGAAAGTTATGTGTTTAAAAATAAATAGTGTAATGTATGAATTAAAATTTAATTGAGTCTTTACGTATGGACGAAATATTAGATTGAAAGAAAAAAGAGACATGGCATGATGCATATTAATGGTGCAACATCTTGATATTTACAGAGTATAGACTGTTAGGTCGGATTTGTAAATTCTAGTTATTTTGAAAATTATTTTTATGAAATAGCAATTTGTATTTGACTAATTAATTTTTAATTTCTTTTATAATATCAAAGCCATAATTTTTATTTTATTTTTAGTTTAATATGATCCATAGGGCTGATTTTATTTTGAAGCTGTAATTTGTGTCTGACCAAAATTTCAAAAATATTCCAATCATCCCTTTCCCTTGTGAAAAATAGAAAGATGTGTCCATTTGCAGATTTGGTCCCTCCTTTGCTCCAATTTGTTTTGTTCAATAAAGAAGAAAAAATACAAATGGATGATAAAAACAACTAAAAATAGCAATTTCTAGGATATTGGATTTCATTTCAAATCCTTCATTTTGTTGTGTTTATTATTATTAATGTTATTCTAAATGGTGGTCTTTGTATTATTTTGAAGAAGGATTCGACTTTAAGGTTGGGGAATTTATTTACAAGACGTTTTTAAGTAAGGTGTATTTTAGTTAAGAACTTATTTAAAATTTAAATTTGAATATGGAGTTTTAAATCCGCTTTTGATAAGAATTAAAAATTTGATATCTCATGATGCCTTATTATTCGAGAATATCGATTAGAAGGAAGTCAACATATAGCTCCTCTTCCGTATGAGTAGGAGATTTTGAATTAAAAAATAATTCTTTTTCTTTGATTAAAAAAAATAAAGGAACAAATAATATCTACGATTCGATAAAGAGAAAAATTGTGGATAGTGTGTCACTAGGTTGGTGGGAATCCATAAAAGAACGATGACCATAGAATTAGTGAGTAGACCACCTTTGATCGAGAATCAATTAATTTATAGTGTTTTTCGTACCCTACTCGTAGAGAGAAATTTATCGATGGATGTTTTACATTAGAAAGAGTGAAGAAATCATCACTACATTGAGATGTACACCCCTTTAATTATTTGTTAGGTTGTTTACGGATTCGCAACTTGAGGAATCTTTAGATATATGATTGAAAATTTATAGAATAAATTATTGGATATGAATTTTCAGAACGTTTCATTGTTAAGCATATTCATAATTACAATTCTAAAAATAGTCGAATTAATCGAGTCTACCTCATCAATATTCAAAACTAATCAGTTCCAATGAACAATCAATTACATTTAACAATTTGCAGAACAATATGCTTCATTTGTTCATGCTTGGACATTTCTGATCTCCCATTTTAACCCAAAAAAATATGTAGCCTTGAAAAAAGGACCAAGTGAAACTGAGTTGACTAGGTGATAGATTGTGAGTATGTCCTTAATTCTTTCATAAGTTGAACCTTAACTCCATAAAAAGTTATTTTAAAAATGTAGCAAAATTCACTTTAACTACTTCCTTCCGTCTCACATTAGTTGAGCACGTTCTATTTTGTATGATACTTAAGAAATCATAAATAAATTTTTTTTATTAATTCACCCCTTAAAAAACTTCTTGAAAATTTCACAAATAAATATGTACACCTTAAAAGAATTTGCTAAGGTAGTATTGAAAAAATGTAATTAATTATTTCTTAATTTCATAAGGTGGACAACTAAAATGAAACAATGATAGTATTTTTATTACGATAAAATCAGTTAACTACTTTCTCTATAAGTCATACACGTCGATAAGTCTACTAAGAATCATCGGATCTGTTAGTAACCGTTTGGATTGACTTATTTTAGGTGTTGTTAAGCCAAAATAGTTATTAAGCATTTTTGAAGTGTTTGGATAAAGTTAAAAAGTGCTTATAAACACTTATTTCAAAGCCAAAAAAATAAGTCAAAAGTTAGAAATTCTAACTTATGGTTTTTTGTTTATAAGTCATAAGTTAAAAGTCAATCCAAACAGGCCCTCAGTTTGGTTCATGGATTATTCGTAAATTTAAATTTAAATTAATTTTTTTGTGATATTTGAATAGACATGAAGCCCTCAATACCTCTAATCATCTTGTCATTGGAAAATTATGTTATATATATACACGTTAAATTTTGCATTTAAAGGATATATATGTAAAGTTGGACACTCTTAAAAGTCTTAACAAGACGCCGGTTATGAATGCCCATTTGAATGAAGACGTTCTGAGCTTGAATCTCAAACAGTACAATGTTTTTCTATTTTATTTTGACAGCCACACACCATAATTTTTGAACATCCTTGATAAAATTTCTGACCTTGTCAATATCTATCGTTATTTTATTGTCGTTATTAAGCCATGTTTTGGATTATTTATACTAACTAATACTAATAACCAATAATAATAATAACATTAATAATAATAACAATAATAATAATAATAATACATTTGAAAGTTTTATCTTGATTCAATGGATGAAACTCTTATCTCTTTTGAAAAGAAACTTTTGCTGGACATGAAGGAGCATTTTGACATCTTTCACATTTGCTGAGTGAATGGCCAGGAATTGCTTATCCCATTATCCTTTCCAAAATTTTCAATTCTTTTTTGTATCAAACAAAATATAATAGATAAATATAATTTTTTAATTTAACAGTTAATTAACAACTATAACTTTCAATTTTAATATGCAAATATGTATTTTAATTCGTATAAAATTGAGGAAATGAATATATTCATCTTATATAATACCCTATATAAAAATTTTATCTTACATGATATCATACATGTAATATGTCATATAAGACACTTGTATCTGCTTGTTCGATTTTATAATAATTTAAGTGTCCATTTATACATATTCAAAATTGAAAAATATAATTATTTGTTAATATCATGTTAAAAATGATGTTTATTTTTGATTTCTCACGTCATTACTCATCAAAATGTTTGCACTGATAGGTAACAGTAGCGCATGCTTGTCATTAATTTATACGATTACTTATTTTTCAATGTAAATATGTGATAGGATCATAGGGGTTTTCTCAAACCTTCAATCATCATCACCAAAGGTGATAGCTAGTATGGATAACTTTATATTGTTTCTATTTTATTCTTAATGTTTAATATATTTTTCAAAACATAACTTTAATATTATTCGATAAAAATGAGAAAATTCACACTTCTAAATTTTTTATTACTATTATCACCTATTAGTTTTATAAATCCTCAAAATCCTTCATTTTTGTGCATCAAATTAATCTATCTCGTGCATCAGGTTGATGTATCAGGATTTCTATAATTATAAACTTAATTTTATTATTTTTAAAAGTATATATCAAATCTGTAGTGGATAATTATTATTTGATCGAGGAAATGTAAGTTTAATATAAAAATGAGAGCAATTGTTCACGCATATACTTTCTTTGTCCTAAAATAAATGTTTCAAAAGAAATAATATATCTCAAAATAATTGTCTTCCTAAAAAATTCAAAATAAATATCATCGTAGAAAATAAAATATAATTTTTTATAAGAATTGTCACATGTAATATTATATATATTATTATGTTAAAATGGAGTAAGAATACAAATATATTGGCAACCAATGTTTTGTACTAATTATGTAATTTAATATACGGTCATCACAAAATTATAATTAAATAATACATATTTTTACTTTAATTTATTTGTTAATCAGTATAAATAACTCAGCATAATCTTTTGTTTATTATTGAGTGTCAGAAATTTTATATCTAATATATTCCTTTCATTTCATATAACATGATCTCTCTATAAAAATACATATTTCATTTTAATTATTTAATTAAGAAAATTTTATATTATAGTTAATTTTTATTTTTAATATGGAATGATGCATAAGTACTCAGCTCGAAGTCTCTGAGACACGCTTATACTATATTAGGATCTTATTATCTCCTTAACTTATTTTATTAATAACTTTCTATCTCTTTTTGACCTACGTGACACTATTTTGTCGGCTCAACACTATTTGACTTTTTCTTTTAAGTTAATGCTATGTAGATCGAAATGGAGAAAATTACTTATAAAATAAGTCAGGGATAATAAGACTTTATTATAATATAAGTGTGTCTCTAAAATTTCGAACATATATTAAAAAATACTCGTGCATTTTTCTTTTTAATAATAGACAGTATAAATAATAATAGCCAAGTTTGAAGTTGAAAATGTATCAATAATAAAGTTAGTTGTAATAATATATTTCTAATATTTCTTTTTTTTGTAAAAAAAAAAAGGATTTGAGTTAAGTTATCATAGGCTAAAGT